GCTGCAGCATAGCCTCCCTGTTTTTAAACTCCATCCCTCGAGCAATGACAGACAAAATTCCATTTGCCTTTTTGCCTTTTTTAATTACCTGCTGCACCAGCAATCCCACCTTCAGCGATTCATGCACAAGGACACCCAAGAACCTTTGCACAGCAGCGTGCTGCAATTTTTTACCATTTAAAACATAGTCCATTTTGCTGTTATTCCTACCAAAATGGATGACCTCACACTTATCAACATTGTACTCCATCTGCCAGACCTTTGCCCACTCACTTAGACTATCTATATCCCTCTGCAGACTTTCAGTGTCTTCTGCACACTTTGCTCTACAACTCACCTTTAGTGTCATCTGCAAATTTTGACACACCACAATTAGTCCCCAACTCCAAACCATCTATGTAAATTGTAAACAATTGCGGTCCCAACACTGATCCCTGAGGCACACCACTAGTCACTGACCGCCAACCAGAAAAACACCCATTTACCCCTACTCTTTTTGCTTTCTACTGGTCAACCAATCCTCTATCCAATACATTACCTGTAATACCATTCAACTTTATCTTATGTAGCAGCCTTTGGTGTGGCACCTTGTCAAATGTCTTCTGGAAATCCAGATACACTACATCCACAGCTTCCCCATTGTCCACCATGCAAGTAATCTCCTCAAAGAATTCCACCAAATTAGTTAAACATGACCTACCCTTCATGAACCCATGCTGGGTGTTCCCAATGAGACAATTTATATCCAGATATCTTGCTATTTCTTCCTTAATGATAGATTCAAGCATTTTCCCCACTACCGAAGTTAAGCTAACTGGCCTATAGTTACCTGCATTTTGTCTACTTCCTTTTTTAAACAGTGGCGTCACATTGGCTGTTTTCCAATCTGCGGGAACCACCCCAGAGTCCAGTGAATTTTGGTAAATAATTACTAGTGCATTTGCTATTTCCCACATCACCTCTTTTAGTACCCTGGGATGCATTTCATCAGGGCCAGGAGACTTGTCTACCTTTAGCCCCATTAGCTTGCCCAGAACTGCCTCCTTAGTGATAATAGTTTGTAGGTCCTCACCTGCTATATCCTTCTTGCCATTAGTTTTCAGCATGTTATTTGTGTCTTCCACTGTGAAGACCGACACAAAATAACTGTTTAATGTCTCGGCTATTTCCTCATTCCCAGTTATTAAATTAGCCTTCTCATCCTCTAAAGGACCAATGTTTACCTTCGCCACTCTTTTATGATTTACATATTTATAGAAACTTTTGCTGCCTGTTTTTATATTCCGAGGTAGTTTGCTCTCATAATCCTATCTTACTGTTCTTTAACTTTTTTTGTGGCTTTCTGTTGGCCTTTAAAGATTTCCCAGTCTACTAGTTTCCCACTACTGTTTACTTTTTTGTATGTTTTTTTTTTTCAATCTGGTACATCCATGATGCCATTCAATTATTGGCCCACACTTTTCCATATGCCAGTTAATATTGTCCTAGAATATTGACTCTACAAGTTTCCCTCCACCAAATTAGACTTATTGACCTGTAGTTTATTCCTCTATTAAAATTACTAAAAAAATTATCTACACTGGTTCACTCCATCCTTTTCCCCTTCCATCCTTTTTCTGGGGATTTTTTCTCTTTTTGTTTAAAAAGTAATTATCCCAACTAGTGGGATTAAGGAAGAAGGATGAAGAAACATGAATTGATAAAATTTGCCAGCTTTATTTTATGAGAATGCTGAATGGGTATTTGTAACTTGTTCTTTTTCTCCTCCAGAATGACCATTCTCCTTCCTATTGAGAAGCTAAAAGTGTTATTGCAGAATGTGAAGAATTTCCATATTCAGTTTCTTCGGAAATACGCATGAGCATAGTTGATTTTTATTTTCACCAGAGAAAATAACATCTAAATGTTCAATTTACTGTTCCCCAATTTTTATTACCATGTAAAATGAATGTTCACTGAAATAAAATGGCATAATTATGGCCTACAAATCTCAATTGCTGCAGCTATTTGCCAGTTTGGTATTGTGACACCAACTTGTACTGCACTTTTTTTGATAGTACTTCCAATGTAAACATAAGTACTATTTGTTGGAAACATTGGTTTTGTTGCACTTCAAGATTTTTTTTAATGAAAATATTTCTAGCAACAAACAGTATGATGTCAAATATTTTTCTAGGTTCAAGCCTCTAATCGTAAATTGCCAGAAATATGCTCTGGTCAAAAGCAGACATTTGGGGTTGTGCCTTCTTTTTGCCTGATAGCCCATGTGTTGTGGGTGGCACTGCATTAACTGGACTAGTGAACGGCCTTTATTACACTTATGTAGCAAGACCATATCTTCAGTCGAGGTAGAGTATTGGTGTGTATACAGATGGATTTTCAGCAGGTTAAAAGCTGATGCCTGAATTCACTGATCAAATGCTAAATTGTAACACTGCCAAGTGAATGGATTTTAACAATAATTCAAAGCATTTGGCAGTGAGATTTTTTTTCTGAACAATAGATGTAATGTTTACATTTTTACCTTTATAAAGCTTGGGAGGACAAATGTTACAACTGTCTTTGTAAATTACATTTCTGAATTTGGTTTTCTATTCAAGGGCTTCCAAGTAGATGAATTCAGTAAAACGAAACACAGATTGGCTTGTCGCAGGAGAGGGGGGAGAAAACTGCAGTCTGCAAGACTTTGTTTGGAAAAAAGGATTTTCTTATGTCTTTCTTTCTGATAATGTTTTGAGCTTATCTATGTTAATGTCAATGAACAAGAAATATCTGTTCCAATAAATTGCCTTTTTTGCTCTTTAAATTTAATTGCTTTTCAGAAGAAAGTATAATTACATGTCTGTCTGAATCCCTTTCTCTGGCTTTTCTACCCTCCCCAACTGAGCTTGTATAGTCTTTTCTAATCATGTGACAATGATATGACCACTGGAAGGGGCTAACTTCAGTAGATCTCTTTGAGGAACAAAGTGCTCCAGCCTCATTTGTCTCAAAATGCTTACTATCCTTACCTCTGTTGTCAACCAAGGACTGGTGGATGAACATATATGCTTTTCATTCACTTGCCAAGATGCATTTAGTGTGTGCAATGGTTCCCTAAAATCCTCAGTTGACAAATGTGTTTCAGTTACAAAGGCAGATCTTAGAGTGCAGCAAAGTCTCAGAGTGATCATATACCTTTTGAGTTAGCTGAATGCAACAATTGGATTTGTTATATAGATAAACGTTTATCAGAAATCCTAGGGATTAAAAAATAAGTCTTAGAGGTAGGTTTAACTATTTGATTCATTCTGTAATTTCACATAACATCTCTAGCATCTTTGAAAACAACAATTAATATCGCACCTTTTAACATAAGCATCCCAGTACATTTCAGAGAAGTATTAGAAAACAAAATATGACATCAATATATTATGGGGAGGTGATGGACTAGTGGTATTATCATTGGACTGTTAATCCAGAGATCCAGGTAATGTCCTGGGGATCTGGGTTCAAATCCTGCCACAGCAGCTGGTGGAATTTGAATTCCATAAATATCCGGAATTAAGAATCTAATGATGCCTGTGAATCCATTGCCGATTGTTGGAAAAACCCATCTGCTTGTTCACTAATGTCCTTTTCAGGAAGAGAACTGCCATCCTTACCTGGTTGGACCTACATGTGACTCTGAACTGCCCTCAGGGTAATTCAGGATGGCAATAAATTTTGGCCTAGCCAGCAATGCAGTCATCCTGCAAATGAATTTCAAAAAGGTCAGATAACCAAACTATCAAAATGATGATCAAAAGATTTTAAGGAATGTTTTACACAAATAAAACAAGGTAGAGGGGTGCAAGGCAGCCTGGAGCTTGACAACTAGGAGTGGTAGGGGAGGTAGTGAGATACTGCAGGAGTCTCCTGTGGTTAGCCCTATCTCAAACATTTTGGACACTGGTGTGGGGTGATGGCCTTTCAGGGGAGGATGGGACTGACAACCATGTTTCTGATATGTTGACTAGCTCTACTGGAATGAAGGGTATGTCAGGTTCCAAGCAATCAATTTGTAATGGGGGACTCTGTAGTCTGGGGCACAGACAGCTATTGCTGCTGCTGACATCAAGGCAACAGGATGGTGTATTGCCTCCGTGGTGACAGAGTCAAGGATATCTTGAGAGGGTGCAGAATATTCTGAACTGGGAGAGTGATCAGCAGGAGGTTGTCGTGCACATTGGTACCAATAACATAGGTAGGGAAAGGGTTGCGGTTCTGCAGAGAGACTATAGGAAGATAAGCAGGAGATTAAAAAATTGGACCTCTAGGGTAGTAATATCTTTACTACTACCAGTGCCATGTGCGAGTGAGAGTAGGAATAGGAGGATAGAGCAGATGAATGCGTGGCTGAGGTGGTGGTGCAGGGGGCGAGGAGTCACATTTTTGGACCATTGGGATCTTTTCAGGGGTCAAAATGACCTATAATAAGAGGGATAGGTTCTACCTGAATTCGAAGGGACCAATGTCCTCCCAGGGAGACTTGCTACTCGGGAGGCTTTAAATTAGTAAGCGGTCAGGGGTGGGGTGGTGCTGTGGGGGAGGAGAAGGAAAGCCATAGTGGGGAAAGGCTGAGATTGATACAGATAATGGAAACAAATCTAATCATCAAGGCAGACAAGAGCTTGGCAGAGAATGAGGTCGGACTGATTAACTGCATTTACTTAAGTGAAAGAGGCCTGTCAGGTAAGGCAAATGAACTGAAGGCACAGTTGTGAACATGGGAGTGCTATTACAAAAACATGGCTTAGGGATGGATAGGACTGGCAGCTTAATGTTCCAGGGTGTAGATGCAACAGGAAAGATGGAAAGGAAGGCAAGAGAGGAGGGGGAGTAGCATTTTTGTTTAGGGGGAGAATTATGGCTGTACTTAGGAAGGATATTCCTGGGAGATTGTCCAGTGAAGTCATAAGGCTGGAATGTTTTAAAAAAAAAGGGATGATCACCTTATTGGGATTGTATTATAAGCCTCCTAATAGCAGGAAATTGAGAAGCAAATATGTAAGGAGATTTCAAATATCTAAGAAAAAATAGGGTTGTAATGGTAGGAGATTTTAACTTTCCAAACACAGGCTGGGACTGTCATACTCTTAAGGGTTTGAAATGAGAAGGAATTTAAGTGTGTACAGGAAAACTTGCTTCAATATGTGGATGTATCTACTAGAGAAGGAGCAATACTTGACCTTCTGTTGGAAAATACAGTTTGGCAAGTGGTGGAGCACTTTGGGGCAAGTGATCATAATTCTATTAGTTTTAAAATAGTTGAGGAAAAGGATAGAAAGGTCAAAAAGTTAATGTTCTAAATTGAATTAAGGCTGCTTTTGAAGTTATTTGACAAGAACTTTCAAAAGTTGATTGTAGGAGGCTATTTACACGTAAAGGAACGGTTGGGTATTGGGAGGCCTTTAAGAATGAGATAATGAGAGTTCAGAGACAGTGTGTTCCTGTTGGTATAAAGGGCAAGGCTGGTCGGTGTAGAGAATGCTGGATGACTAGAAAAATTGAGGCTTTTTAAGAAAAATGAGGAGGCATATAATTAGGAATAGACAGCTGGCATCGAGTGAATCCCTACAGGAGTATAAGGATAGTTGGAGTACACCAAGAGGGAAATCAGGAGGGCAAAAATAGGACATGGGACATGAGATATCTTAGGCTTATCTTTAACTTTATTTGCCAAAGAGATTTTATAAATACATTAGGGTCAAAAGAGTAACTAGGGAGCGAATAGGGCCCCTTAAAGTTCAGCATAGCCACCTATGTGTGGAATCACAGGAGATGGGTGAGATACTAAATGAATATATAGTGTCAGTATTTACTGTGGAAAAGAACATGAAAACTTGGGGAAATAAATAGTGATGTCTTGAAAAGAGTTCATATTATAGAAGAGGTGGTGCTGGAGGTCTTAAAACGCATAAAGGTAGCTAAATCCCTGGGTCTTTCCCAGATCTCTGTGGGAAGCTCAGGAAGAGATTGCTGGGCCCTTTGCTGAGATATTTGTATCATCGAAAGTTGCAGGTGATGTGCTAGAAGAATGGAGTTTGGTTATGGCCCACATCAATTACAGTCTCCCAACCTGCCTTGATCCCCTACAGTTTGCCTACGGATATAACAGTTCCACAGAGGCTGCCATATCCCTAGCCCTGTACTCATTCTTGGAACATCTGGACAACAAAGACACCAATTTCAGACTCCTGCTCATTGACTACAGCTCTGCCTTCAACACCACTATCCCCTCCAGACTGATCTCAAAACTACTTGAACTTGGTTTCTGAAACTGGATCCTCCGCTTCTTACCCATAGGCTGCAATCAGCAAGGATAGGTAACTGCACCTCCTCCACAATAACACTCAACACTGGAGCACC